CTTTGTCCTGTAGGTAACTGCTGACCATGGGAGCTTCTTTGTTTGCTTTTAATGATCAAGAAGGTCAGTTTTTTATTTATTTAAATATAACCAGGCAAAATACAGGTCATCCTGCTTATTGAAAAAGTATATTGTAAACAGTCATTGGTACATTTTGGGAAACTTGGAATACATTTTAAAGTAGAAGGATTTTAGCCCAGCTGGTGTGGCTCAGTGGTTGAGCACCGACCCATGAACCAGGAGATCACGGTTTGATTCCCCAGTAGGGCACATGCCCAGTTGCAGGCTTGATCTCCAGTACGGGGCATGTAGGAGGCAGCCAATCAATGACTCTCATCATTGATGTTTCTATCTCTCCCTCTCCCTTCCTCTCTCTGAAATCAATAAAAACATTTTAAGAAATAAAATAAGTAGAGGGATTTTAGAAAATCATTTTACATTATACTGTTTGGTGGTCATCTGTCCTGCACCCTGAGATTTTTTTTTACCAGGGCTGTGGTTAGATCAGAGCCTAGAAAGCACTTTCCGATGCAGAGTGAGGGTCAGGGTAGAGAAGGGACAGAAAGGAGGCAGGGAGAACGGTCAGGAGGCCATGCTATTGCTGGGGCAATAACAAAAGAGCCTCAAGGGGACAGTGGGCTGGTGAGGAGTGGGCGGTGTCTGGGGAGTGACAGCATGGGTTTTATGGCAGCTGGACATGGGGTGGGAGTAAGGGGCATGTCAAAGGGCCTGCAGTTTCAATTGTCTGACAGCTCTCACTCTGGGTGCACAGGGATGCTGTGAGCTGTCCTTTGAACAGGTGGATAGGCCTTTGTCATACAGGAGATGCCATTTCGAGGGAATTAAGCAGATTTTTTAAAAATGTCAGAAACTAAGCCATAGCAAAGGCAGGAAAATTTACATCACCCACCGCATACTTCCATCCCCAAACAGCTTTGCCTTCTCTCCTGTTCAGACAATTCACAGTTCTCCGAATTCTCCCACAATGCCCAAGGGGACCCATCCCCAGGCCTGAGACAGCCTGCATGTCCCCAGCACCTTCCACTGGGCAGGACTCGATAAATGTTGGGGAGACCTTCTTACTAGCCTCGTGCTTTCTTCTTTCAGAATGCGATGTTGGCACTTCTAAAGCCGTGGTGAATGGGCTGGCACCAGGCAGCGATGGGCAGGACAAAGGTAAGACCTTTAGAGGGAAGCCCGGCTTGGTTTTGGGAAGCGTGTATAGAAGGAGCAGAGGATGTCGGGCCTGGACCACAGGCCCAGTGGGAATAGTCACTGATCCTGTCAGGCCCAGAGCTGGAGACCAGCTTCCCGCACTGACTTTCTGAAACCGTGAACATGGTCTTGCATCTCAGGCGTCTGAGGCTGCTGCCTCTCACTGTGAGATGACTTATTAAAAACTGTCTCTAACTCATAGGATGTTTCAAATAACAGGTCAAGTGCACAGGCCGAGGTGCAGCTCAGGCCTGGTGTGTACTGTGTTTATCGGTCCAAAGTTTCCCTCACCCGGCATGTCCCCCTCACAGTCCCTGACCCTGAGGCAAGAGCCTAAATTGCTGAAATAAATTATTTCAGTGGCATTCGTTTCATGCACATCCTCTCATATTTTCAGTTTAAAAACTTTTTAGGATGAAAGATTTAAGTGTGAAATGAGTGATGGATAAGATCACCTTTGACGTTCTGAATGTCTCAACGTAGCCGCCCAAGTAGCCAGGCAGCAGGGCTTTCCGCATCGCTTCTGCAGGATGCAAGTCCCAGTCCTGCCACTCACAGCCATCTCAGGAGGTCCTTGGTCCTTATGGGTGTGAATTCCCGTCTCTAGAAAACATGATCTGTAGTGTTTATTCCTGTTTCAGATTCTGGGTGCCGGTGATTGTCTCTGTGCTCATCCCACTAAATTTTAGGGTACCAAGGACGGAGGGCAGAAGTCCTATCATTGGGCATTTAGGTGATTTCAGAGAGTTTGACATATTTGGCCTTTGTCATTTTCATCTGGTTTAGCCAAGTATTCCTTTTGAGGCAAGGCCAAATGTACAGTCAGAAGGAAGAGCCAGAGAGAGAAAGGAAAGCAGAGAAAGCAGGAGGGACAGGGAGGGGGTGGGGGATGTTGGGG